ACGTCTTGACTGGAGACTTGGTCAGAGGGGCCACGCCCTCGGGGTCAGCTGTTCCCGCGCAGGACACCCCAGAACTCAGCTGAGGTCGTAAAAGAGGAACGGCCAGGTCTCTACTGTCTGGGCCGTCTGAGAATGCACGTCACACCTCGACCTGAGCACGAGTCCTCCGACACCGCCCAGCCCCCTCATTCTGCGCTTGCGCAGAGAGGCGGGCGTAGTCACCTGAGCGCGCACTTGGGGCGGAGCGGGGGGAAGGGCGGGCACGCGCCCGCCTGTAGTGACGCGAGAGAGTAGGCGAGTCGGGAGGGCTGAAGGGTAGAGCGGCACATCCCGCAGGTTTGGTGCACATCGTCGGCCTCTCTGGGCCCCGGGACTGGAGTCTCACTGGCTCTCTGGGTTCCTGGAGCGGATCCGGGGCAAGAGGGAAGAGAGCTCCGGGTCAAGGGCCACTGCTGCCCGGACTCGGCCGCCAGCCCGCGCTCGGCGGGGCCGCCAGCCAGGGTAAGCGGGCTGGGTTGTTCAGGGTAGGAGCGTGGGGCGGAAGTGCCTCCGTGGCGACCCATCCTACACACGGGAACACTGAGGCGCAGAGTCCACGGCTCTCCGGCTCCCCGGAGTTCGGCTTGGCGGCCTTAAGGAGTGGTAGGGGAGGCTGGAGGCTGCCTTGCTTGGATCTTGGGGGTAATGCAGCTTTGCGTGGTAGGGCCACCCTGGGAGAGCCAGCAAGCTGGTTGGGGCGCCGGCTGAGTTCAGGGTTATGGCCTGGAACGCTCCGGAGGAGACCTGTTGCCATTTCTTCTAACGGGCCGCTGCTTCCTCTTGCGCTGGTCTCGCACGGCAAAGTCTTTGTTTAGTCCTCTGAAACAGGGAAGTGAAGCTTATTGTTTCCCAGCCGCTCTGGCGAAAACAGAGCCAGACGAGCAGGAGACACTCAGCTGAACGATCTGCACTGTTGGCAGGGAGAGCATGTTTCTGGCTTTCGCACTGCTTGCTCGTCATAGCTCACCTGGATGCACAGGGACCTCTGCTTCGAAGTTTGGATAATCAGGAGCAGTCTGAACAGATTGCTCTGCAGCCTGCACAGGGCAGAGGGGTGTCTGATTGATTGTCTGTGAACACCTTTTCCTTTTGCAGTTTCAAATGTAGCTGGTGTGAGGGATCAAGTTTTAGCCAGACAAACATTGTATGGGATAAAAATTTTGCTTTAAGGGGTTGGAGAGATCGCTCAGCTGCTAAAGCGCATTCTGCTCATGCAGAGGACCGGTTCGGTACCCAGTAACCACATCAAGCGGCTCACACCACCTACTCTAGCTTCAGGGTATCCAGCACGCTCTTCTGGGCCCTGCCAGCACTGCACTCACATCCACTTACCCATAAATAAAAGGAATAAAAATAAAAATTTAAAGAATAGTGCAGACTGGGCTGAGAGGTGGCTCAGCGGTTAAGAGCACTGGCTGCTCTTCTAGAGGATCCTGGTTTGATCCGCAGCACCCACATGACAGCTCACAGCTGTCTGTAACTCCAGTTTAGGGAATCCATCGCACCAGGCATGCATATGGTGCACATATATCTATGCACGCAGGCAAAATACACATAAAAATAAAACTTTTAGTTAGATGTGCACTATATGACCCCCCCTTGTATGTCTAGAATCCCTGTGGTTCTGACTGTGAATGACAGGGTCCAAAGCCAAGCAAGGCTGGTCTGAACCTTCGGATGCAAGCCCAGGGTGGCCTCCTGAGGCATGAGCCACCACTCTCCCCCTGGTTCATTTTCAGTTGAAAAGTACTGTCTTTCTGGGCTGGAGTCTGCTATTCATATTCCCACAGATCTGCTAGGGAAAGGTTTGTTATGGGTCTTTGTTAGTGTCTGCTCCCGTGTGGTCCTTCACCAGATAACATAGCAGTGGCTTTGAAAGTGGTTGACATTTTTAAACAAATTCCCTTTTTGGAAACATCTTTTTAAAAGTTCAGAAGTGACACCATTTTCCTTCTGTAGTTTATGGTTGTGCCCAGGCCAGAGAAACAAGGCACCTGTTTCACAAACACTGGGCATGGAAAGTGACTTCAGGAGCCAGATGAAGGGGCTCATGCCTGTAACTGTAGCACTTGGGAGGGGGAGACAGGATTGATTGTTACAAGTGTAGAGGCCAGCCTGGATAGCTCCTGAGTAAATGTTTTCTCAGTTGTCAGATGTTGAATTTACTGCACATTCATTGTGAATGTGCATCTTTCCTGTCCTCTATTAGCTCACTTGCAAACCTTCATTAATAGAACAAAAACACGAAAGGTGGATTGTGCCTCTAAGAAGTAGCTGCCACGTGTGTGTATATGTTGGGAGCTACCACAGTCACTTAAGTTTTTAGTTTCAAGGAGGCATCTGCGAAGTGACAACCTTGAATGAAAGGTCTAATAGGAAGTAGACAGCATTAAGAAGGATCCTCAGGGGGCTGGAGAGACGGCTCAGAGGTTAAGAGCACTGACTGCTCTTCCAAAGGTCCTGAGTTCAATTCCCAGCAACCACATGGTGGCTCACAACCATCCGTTATGAGATTTGGTGCCCTCTTCTTGTGTCCAGATATACAGGGAAGCAGAATGTTGTATACTAAATAAATAAAATCTTTAAAAAAAAAAAAAAAAAGGATCCTCAGCTGGGTGGTAGTGGCACATACCTTTAATCCCAGCACTCAGGAGGCAGTCAGGACAGCCAAGGCTACATAGAGAAACCCTGTAAAGATCCTCGATCTCTTCTGGAGTTTCTACTGCACCTGTCAGTTTTGAGATAGAAAACAAGGACTTCTCTTGTTCTGGTCTTTAGAAAACCCTCAAATTCATGTACTGTTACTGAATTTTTTTGCCCATGTGCACTAGAACTCAGCATTACATACTGTGTAGAGGATCCATACAGTGGGTTTACATTAAAAGGAAGCTTTTATGGGTTGAAGAGTTGACTCAGTGGCTAAGGGTACTTGTGAAAGACCCAGGTTCGAGTTCCAGCAACCACAGGTAGGCTTACCACCTCCTCGGACAGCAAGCACACGTATGAAACACAGATGCAGACAAATAATAAAAGTAAATCTTAAAAAATATTTTAAAAAAGAAAGGACACTTTTATACTATTATGTACACCCCCACCCTAGAGTTACCCTATATTGCTACACTGGCCTCTAACTTGTGTTTAACTTCCCAAGTTAATGCCAGAGCCCTTATGGTGGGATGTGTTTGTATGTGTGTGTGTTTTGGTGTAGAGGATCAGTGTTGAGGTTGTTTTGCTAAACATGAGCTCTGTGTTGATTTGCTGTAGTGTTATCCAAGTTCAGATTGTATTGACCCAGTTGAGTACTTTGTCCTATGGCATACTTCATTGGCCAGCTCCTGCTACTAAGCCATTTCTCCAGTCCCACCACCCTGTTCTTATTGTGGAGTTAGTGCTTAGCTTCTTTATTATGCCTTAAAAAGTAGACCTCACAGGGCTGCAGAGATGGCTCAGCAGCCAAGAGCATTTGCTGCTCTTGCAGAAAATTCAGGTTTGGTTCCCAGCACCCATATGGTGGTTCACAACCATCTCTAAGTACAGTTTCAGGGGATTTGATGCCCCCCTCTGGCCTATGTGTCCTGCACTCACACTGTACACAGACATGTCTGTACACACTAGTACCCCCCACCCCCCAAGGTTTCTCTTGTAGCCCTGGCTGTCTGGGAACTCACTTTGTAGACCAGGCTGGCCTTGAACTCACAGAACCATCAGCCTCTACCTCCTGAGTTCTAAGATTAAAGTTGTGACACACCATACCCCACATAACCTCCCATTTTTAATGTCATTGTTTAAGGGTTCAGGTTAGCTAGTAGGGCTTTTGTTTGTATTGAGGGGAAAAACTTGACAAAGGCAAGTGTAACCACTCCACAGGTAGTGAAGGCTGAATGTACTTGACTGTGTCAATGAAGTTATGGTAAAACTCTGGTTTGTGTATGTGTTTGTTTTGGTGTTTTGAGATAGGATATCTTTGTATAATAGCCTTGGCTGTCCTAGAACTCTTCTGGAGACCAGGCTGGCTTCAAACTCTGCCTCTCAAATGCTGGGATTAAAGGTGTGGGCCACCACCATCCCTCGTGTTTGTTTTGAGACAGGGTCTTGCTATGTAACCCTGATTGACCTTGAATGGACTCAGTAGGTAGTCCATCCTTCTATCTTGGCCTCCTGAGTATTAGGATCACATATCTGGGTCACTGTATCTGGCTAAAATACAATCCTGATGTTTGTTTTATTGGCATCTTATACTATAGTGTAAACTTATGTGATTTCAAAATCTTTAAATCTAGATTGGACACAGTGTGGACGATCAAATCAAACAGGAGGAGGCTTGTTCGCTCACGTAGTAACTCACAGTGGCTCCTCGGGCACCTTCAGGATGCCTGCGGCACTTGTGGAAAACAGTCAGGTCATCTGTGAGGTGTGGGCCAGCAATCTTGAGGAAGAGATGCGGAAGATCCGAGAGATTGTCCTCAGCTACAGCTACATCGCCATGGTGAGTAGGTCCTTACCACCAAAGGTCAGACTGACAGAGACCTACATTTCTTCTGTGAGTCAAGGCAGCTAGCGTCTCTGAGGAGGTCACAACCTCTGATGCAAGTTTTTGTAATGCTCCTCTGTTTGAAAGTCTTTTTTTTTTTTTTTTTTTGTTTTTTGTTTTTTTGGTTTTTTCGAGACAGGGTTTCTCTGTGTAGCTTTGGAGCCTATCCTGGCACCTGGCACTTGCTGCTCTGGAGACCAGGCTGGCCTCGAACTCACAGAGATCCGCCTGCCTCTGCCTCCCGAGTGCTGGGATTAAAGGCATGCGCCACCAACGCCCGGCTCTATTTGAAAGTCTTTTATATTTTTATTTTTGTTTATTTTAGGATCTGAATAGGTAGCCTTAGGTAGCCCAGACAGGCCAAGAAAGAGCTTGTGCTGATCTTCCTACTTCTGCCTTCTTAGCTGAGATTATATGTTTGCTGCATTGTCCCCATTGTTATGTGTGGTGCTTTGGGACAAGTGCTGTAGCCTCTGACCTGCCTCAGCCACATAGGAGTATCTCTTCACACATGTGAATCTCACCATGCGGTATTTATTTATTAATTAAATTTGGAGACACGGTTTCATAGAACACAGGCTCCTCTTGAATTTGGTATCAGGTATCAGGAGGATGACTTGACTTCCTGATCCTTCTGCTTCATTTCCCAAGTACTGGGATTATAGGCATGTGCCAACATGTGTGGCTTCTGTTTTCAAAATATTCAAACATTGTGTTGCTAGCACTCAAAAGTCAGGAGATGTTAAATTGCATATCTGGCATTTCTGGGTCAAGTGGGAATATCTGGTACTATGTGGCTCATTTTCCTGTCTGACCTCTGGTAAAGGTGAGGCTTGTCTTGGACCAGCCCCTGAGCAAGCAGGTGCTCTGTTCCTTTCCATGCTTGTTCAAACCCTGCTTTCACTATTCTGTCATGAGAAGCACTTGCTTCACAAGCTCTCCCAGCAGGCTAAGATCCTGTAATCCTGACATTTAGGGGGGACCAGGGGTTCAACACCAGCAAGTTTAGGTCAGTCTGGGCTTCATAAGGGGAAAGGGGATTTATATATGTATATCAATGGGATAGTCACTCAAGAAAAAGAACGGCTGTATTTGTTAAGGCTGGACCAAGATGAAAGTTCTGAACATCAGGCCAGCAGCCATGTTGCTCTCTCAAGTATAAGTCATACAAAGAAGCTAATACAAAGGAACAAAGGACCTGTGAGCCTTCATATCCAACTTGGATGTATTTGTATTAATTTAACTCATATTAGAAGCTCCTTCCTGGGGGCTGGAGAGATGGCTCAGCAGTTGAGAGCACTTGTTGCTCTTCCAGAGCACCGGAATTCAATTCCCAGCACCCCCATGACAGTTCATAACTGTCTGTAACTCTACTTTGAGGGAATCCAACACCCTCATACAGGCATATATGCAGGCAAAACACCGGTTGTGTTCCAGATCTTGGGGGCTTCCTGGGGCTTCTATAAATTGAAGAGTGATTTTGCTCATGAGTTGCTAGCCCAGCACCCACTGTCTGGTGAGACTTAATGATGAGAGGCTTTTGTTCCTAGGACACAGAGTTTCCAGGTGTTGTGGTACGACCAATTGGTGAATTTCGAAGCTCCATAGATTACCAGTATCAGCTTTTGCGGTGCAATGTTGACCTTCTAAAAATCATCCAGCTGGGCCTTACATTCACAAACGAGAAAGGGGAGTACCCTTCTGGAATCAACACTTGGCAGTTCAACTTCAAGTTCAACCTGACGTAAGTGTCCTGAGACCCCTCACTGCTATTCCTGGATGGCTACATTTGAGTGGACTGGACTGAACTGATTGCCATAAGTTTTGGAGTGGAGAGGCAGGGGAGAGACAGACAGGGTCATTATTATGTATCTCTGGCCATCCTGGAACTTGATATGTAGACTAGGCTAACCTTGAACTCAGAAATCTACCAGTCTCTGCCTCCAGAATCCAGAATGTTGGGATTAAAGGTATGTGCTGCCACAGGCTAAATATATTTTTATTATATTGAGCATACATTGGTGTTAGAACAGTCAAGAAGAGAAGCTTTCTTTCTTTCTCATCCCCCCCTTTTTTTTTCTTTCTTTCGACAGGATCTCTATATAGCCCTGGCTGTCCTGGAACTTGCTATGTAGACCAGGCTGGCCTCAGACCTGCAGAAATCTGCCTGACTCTGCCTCTAGAGTGCTGGGACTACAGGCATAAATCACAATGTCTACAAGCTTAGTTTTTCTTGAAGAACTCTTGCAATTTGCCCCCCCCCCAAAAAAAAAAATCCAGGCTGTTGTGTAGCTCAGTGGAATAGCACTCAAATAGTATATTTGAGTCTGTGAGTTTATTCCCCAGTACCATCGAAGGGAAACAACCCAGTTACAAATTGGCAAAAGATAGGCTGTCACCTGAAAGGGAACACAACTGTACACAAGATATGGTTACTGATGGTATAGTATAAATGATAACAATGAGAACAATTCACATGTGTAGCCAATAACCAGATTGGCACTCAGAAGCCCAGTCCCAGATGCCTTCGACCTGGCCTGAACCCCGAGAAAGAGGAGGAGCACCTCTCCTCGCTCTTTATCCTACCCCTCTGCATACCTGTGACCACCATGGGTGTGGTCAGCAGTACAGGTATCCAGGATCTCTCCCTACAGTCACCCTACACACCTTTAATCCCAGCACTCAGGAGGCAGAGGCAGGCAGATCTCTGTAGTTTCGAGGCCAACCTGGTCTATATAATCAGTTCCAAGACATCCAGGACTACATAGATGGAACTTGTCTCAATTCCCCCCCCCCAAACAAAAACAAAAAAACTGGGAAAAGATCTGAGTAGATTGTAGTAGGTCTTGTCAGACTTTCTTTGGACTGCCAGCTCCCAAATAATGACAGGGAGACTTAACTACAAAAGCTTGGCCTTAGCTTAGGCTTACCCCACTAACTTTTTTTTTTTTTTTTTTTAAATTTTATTTATTATGTATACAACATTCTGTCTGCATGTATGCCTGAGTGCCAGAAGAGGGCACCAGATCTCATAAGGGATGGTTGTGAACCACCATGTGGTTGCTGGGAATTGAACTCATGACCTAGAAGAGCAGCCAGTGCTCTTAACCTCTGAGCCATCTCTCCAGCCCCGCCCCACTAACTCTTTTTTTTTTTTTGTGTGTGTTTCTTTTTTTTTTATTAAATTATTAATATTTTCACATGTACTTTCCCTCTCCCTCTCCCCCCCCCCCCCCCCCCCCCCCCCCCCCCCCCCCCCCCCCCCCCCCCCCCCCCCCCTCCCCCACCCCCCCCCCCCACCCCGTCTCGATGGCTAATTCCTCGAAATCCTGCCTATCCTCTTCTGCCTAACTGTTGGCCATTTAGCTCTTTATTAAACCAATGAGAATAAAACAGTGACACATTTTCACAGTGTGATCAAATATTCTGCCACAGTAGATATTTTCTTTATTTTTGTTTAGGTTTTTAAATTTTATGTGTATGAATGTTTTGCCTGCATGTATGTCTGTGCATCATGTATATGCTGGGTGTCCACAGAAGTCAGAAGAGTGTATCAGATCCCCTAGGACTAGTGTTACAGATGGCTGTGAGCCCATGTGGTTGCTGGGAACTGAACCTGGGTCCTCTGCATAGGCTGTACTGAGCCTCCTCTCTAGCTCCTCTTTTATTTATTTTTAGAATAAACTTTTTTTTTGTTCTGTTAAGTTTGTTTTATACAATTCTATTGTAAATGGTACAAAGAAGTAAAAATATGAATGATTAAAAATTAAAAATCAAGGGGTTAGTGATTAAAAGCACTGGCTATTCTTCCAAAGATCCTGAGTTCAGTTCCCAGTCCCCATGTGGCAACATTCTATAATGGGTCTGAATGCTCTCTTCTGGTGTGCAGATGGACATGCAGACAAAATACCCATATACATAAAATAAGTAAATCCCAAGCCGCA